AAGATAAAATAAAATAAAAATAAAAATAAAAAGATAAAAAATTAAAAGTTATGAATATTCATTTATACGACTAATAAATAATTGAATTTTTTCTATATTAAGACTTGATATTTGATATGCACTATGTCTTTTAACTTTTTTAATTTTTTCAATACCTATTCCTTTAAATAATTCATATATTTTGCGAGCTTTGTGTGTTTTTTGGTGCAGATTATTTCTCATATACTTTAAAGATATATAAGGCTCTATTTCATCATATATTTTGTGTCATGCAGTTTTATCTTTTGTTCTATTTTTAACCAATTCACTTACACAATTTTCAAACTGCTTGGTATAGTCATACCAACTACAAATTGTTTTCTGAATAATTTTTCTTCTTCAATCCCCTGAAAACAAGCATTTTGATATAATTTTGCTAAGGTTTCTCCTATCAATTCTGAAGTTTCATTATTTTCATTAATATTTTGAATATTTGTAACTATTTAATCAGGTGTAGTTGTGGTCAAGTCTAATAGAAGTTCATCAAATATTGTTTGTTTCTTTGCTTTAATAAGAGCTTTTGATTTATTTGAAATTCAAAAAGATATTAAAGGAATGTTTTTTTTCTAAATTAGAAAGTAATAAATTAATCAATTCATTTTTTAAAAACAGAAAAATAATCAAATAAAAATTAATATTAATCAAAGATTTAACATCAATTATATAAAATTAGATAATTTTTTACCTGCAAAGATTTTAATTCTCTTTTAGTAGAATGTTTTTGTTTTTTTTTGTAATTTATTTAAAGATTCTTGAGATTCATCTAATTGATTTTGTAATAACTTTTCTTGCTCTTCTGTTTCTTCTTGAAATTCTTCTCAAAATTCTTCTTCGAATTCTTTTTGTGATTCATTTTCTGATTCTTCTTGAGATTCATCTGATTGATTTTGAATAACTTTTCTTGCTATTCCGTTTCTTTTTGAAATCCTTCTCGAAATTCTTCTTTGAATTCTTTTTGTGATTCATTTTCTGATACTTCTTCTAATTCTTTTTCTGATTCTTTTTCTGATTCTTCTTCTAATTCTTCTTCTGATTCTTCTTCTGATTCTTCTTCTGATTCTTCTTCTGATTCTTCTTCTGATTCTTCTTCTGATTCT